CTGTGTTCAGAATCACCCCCCCCCCCCCCGCCCATTTTTAGATAGGGCCTGCATAGCCCTAGGCTGGCTGGCCTGGAACTCTGTATAGATCAGGCTGGTTTTGAATTCAGAGATCCCCTTGCCTCTGCCTCGAGAGTACTGGGAGAAAGTGTTATCACACAGGGCTTCATCACTCAAAAAAAAAAAAAAAAAAAAAAGTTTTAATTTTGATGTGTATCTCTGTAATGGCAAAAAGAGGATGTCAGATCCCCAAAGTTGGAGTTGCAGACATTGTGGACCACCCAGTGTGGGTGGTAGAATCTGAACTCAGGTCCAATGGAAGAGCAGCAAGTGCTCTTATCTCTGAGTCATCTCTTCAGCCCCAGATTTATACTTTTAATAATCCTTTTTCAAGCTGGGGATAGGCTTAGTATGTCTTAGTATTCGTTCAATCCCCAGCATTGCAAAACTGCACAAACTAACATGGTGGTGCTATGCCTGTAATCTCAGCACCGAGGTAGAACCAGAAGGATCCAAAGTTCATTCATCCTCAGCCACCTGGTGAGTTCAAGGCCAGCACCTAGCTGGTCAACATCTCAGCTCAGGTCAGCAGAATGGTATGCTGAAGTGTGGCACATGACAGTGGCTGATGGAGCTGTGACCTATCCACTAGAGTCCACAGCCAGGATCACGGTTCAGTGGTACACTTCAACATGCAGGAATTCCTGCATGTTGAATTCCCAGAGATTCCAAAGCAGCAAATGTTACCAGTGGGCCAGTGCAATGGCTGTCGGAGGCGTTGGGAACAGATGCACCACCTGGGGAATTTGGAGAGACAGGACCACACGGGGCTTTTCAGTGACCTTCCTTGGTTTTTATATTCAAATTCCTGTCCCTGATGATTGAATTGTACCCCAGATTCTTATACTGATGAGGGAGAGCACATCATGATCAATCTAGTGATCATTTTGGGCTTTTCTTAAGAGTCCTTAAATTCATAATCCCAATGGGAAATCAAGCATGTACCACCATGTCCAGCCTGCTTTCTGTGGGTAGATACAGAGATCCTGAGTCACATGGAGAATCAGCAGTCATGCCCAAAGCCAAGGCGAACCTACTGCAGACGAACCTTCAATCCAGCTCTCAAAGCACAAGAAATTCAAGGCTACATGCATTTGGCAGGTCCTGTTTTTTGCTCTGGCAGCCCCAAGGACCTATCTGAGACCACAATTCTCTCTACACACACCCATAGTCTTTTCCTCTATTACCTAGCCCTACCCCTTGATATATTCCACCGATACTGGGGTCATTGGTGACTTCCAGAGTGACTAACTTGCAGAGCTATCCTGTCTCACCCTCTCCACATACGTTCATGGTGCATCTGTTTTGTTGTACACAATTTGCTTAGTTCAATTTGTTAATAAGAACATTGCTTGTAAAATTTAACTAGATAATTTATTACATACTTATGTCAAGTTTGTACTTGTTTGAGGCAGCTTTTAAAAAGTAAAACTGTCAGATACAGGTTGAGTCCCTTATCCAAAATGCTTATTATGGAAGGAAGTATGTCAAATTTAAATGTTTTTTCTTCTTGTTCAGTACACAGTTTATTGAATAAACTGACAAAGTGCAATAAGCTAGGCTGATTTTTAAGATTTTGGAAGACCTACCGATCCAAAACAAAATGTCTTAGAGATCTGACCTGAGTCTAGACATGAACTTTCTTTGTTTTATATACACCCGACACACACAGCCCATAGGTAACCATACACAATATTCTTAGTACACCTGTGTTTTGACTGGGACCCTCATGGAGCTCAGAAGAGAACTCTCTTGCCATGCTCATGCTCCCAGCTTCAGGCTGTGGGTTGGGGACACTCACCTGTGTCCCTTCTTCAGTGTTTTCCTGCACAGGTGAGTGGCCAAAGCTGCTGTTGTACTATCATTCATAAGTCAGCCTGCAAGTGGAGCATTGTGGGAAACTGAGTGGCAGTGAATGGGGCTTGAGCTCTATTTTCCAAGAATGTTTTCAAAAAACTGTTTTATTTTAGAACACACAGGTTGACATGAATGCCAGCAGTCATCATGTCAGGAAAACCTCACTGACACTCTCACTGGTCATCTCCTCCTCCTCTTGGCAGAAGCATGGCTCAGGTCTCAGGGAGACAGAAGACACATCCTCCTCTCGATGCCCATTTGTGGCAAAGTAGGTCCTTTGTGACTGTCACTATGGAAATGTGTTTTCTACAACTGCTTCATGATTATTACAGTTTTGCAGTGGCTGGTTTTCCTATTGATGTCTTGCATCCTAAGACAAAAGAGACAGCTAATGAGATAATGGTGGTCTTGCTTGTTGCTATAGCTTTGTAGCAAGGTTGTGGTCCACTCTGCAAGGCAAGCTGTAAACACTGAGACCTTACTGATCACTCCCCTGGATTCTATTGACCTTTACAAAGCCAGTGGCTGCCTTTTCTAGATGCTACTCTTTCTTAGTCTACAGCATCTAGAGGGTTCTTAGTTCCATCCTGTACTAGAAAGTGTGTGATTAAGGAATCCACCACTAGAGTATCCAAGACTGAAGGGGGGACAGTAAACATCACCACAGATGAGTGTAACTGGGTCAGGATCACCGTGACTTTGAAGCCACTCCCAGCTACAGAGTGAGTATAGTGAGGGCTAGATCAATCTGGGATCCAGTATAAGACCTTGTCTCAGAAAACAAAAACAAGGCCAGGTACGATAGCACATGCCTTTAGTGCCAGCACCTGGAGGAGGGGGCAGAGCAGAGGCAGGCAGATTTCTGTGAGTTTGAGGCCAGCCAGGGCTACATTAAGAGGTGCTGGAGAGGAGGCTCAGGGGTTAAGTACACTCTCTGCACTTAAAGAAACATAACAGCTCTCTGGTCTAGGGAATCCAATGCCCTCTTCTGGCCTCTGGATACTGCACACATGGGGTACATATACATGCATGCACGCAAAAAAATACCCATACAGATAAAATAAAGTCTTTTATTAAAAAAGAAAAACAAAAATCAGCCAGAACAGAATCATCCTTACTGCAGCTGAACACAAACAAGTGCATGTTGGGCCAGATGAAGCCTGAGCAACTAACTGTGCTGCAAAGCACTGCCCACCCATTTTGTGATTGCTGTGTCTTCTTGCTTAAATACTCTTTGCTGTGCTTTCTTTTCTTTCCCTTTTGGCCTTTTTTTTTTTTTTTTTTTTTTTTTTTTTTTTTTCCAGACAGGGTTTCTCTGTGTAGCTTTGGAGCCTATCCTGGCACTCGCTCTGGAGACGAGGCTGGCCTCGAACTCACAGAGATCTGCCTGCCTCTGCCTCCCGAGTGCTGGGATTAAAGGCGTGTGCCACCAACGCCTGGCTCCTTTTGGCCTTTTAAAAGTCTGTTCTTTAAAATTGGTAAGCAGGGTATAGCAGTGTATACCATTTTAAAATCTTCCTCCATTTTTCTCAGTCCTCCCCAACTCCTACCTCTGTTTGGTTTTCACTCCTTACCCATCCTCTACCCCATTGTTTAGTTTTTTAAGACAGGATCTTGCCCTGGAGGGCCTGGTACTCACTATGTAGCCCAAAGTTGGCCTTGAACTCACAGCAGTCCTCCTGCTTCAGCTCCCAAGTGCTGTGATTGGCACTTTTACTTAAGGAAATTCTGGCCTATACCAGCTTGTGTATACGCTTATCTACAGCTGTTCCTTCTGATAAGAATACTTATGGCAGGGCTGGAGAGATGGGCTCAGAGGCTAAGATCACTAGCTGCTCCTCCAGAGGTCCTGAGTTCAATTCCCAGCAACCACATGGTGGCTCATAGCCACCTATAATGAGATCTGGTGCCCTTGTCTGGCATGCAGGCAGAACACTATATCTATAAAATATAAATCTAAAAAAAATATTCATACTTTAATGTCTATTTACACAATTGAGAAAATGAGTCTGAGCCTATTCAGCTGCACTTACCGAGCATTTCTTGTAATTTGCTTGTAGCAGGCTCATTCACACTAAACACGTAGTTATTATCTCTAAAGAAAAGAAATGCTGTGTTACTGTGTGAACCCGGACAGAGACACCTTTTCACTACAACTTCTTCCTGACTGTAATATTCTCTCATGGATTGTTAAAGGCCTGTGTCATGAAGCTTGCTTTTTTTCTTCTTCAGGCCTGGGGACCAAATCCAAGTCTTCACACATGCTAAGCCACAGCCCCAGTCTGAAGTAGCTGAAAGGCTTTGTGCTCCTGTTCTGACCACAGGAGATACACAACTATGACAGTTTGGCTTCAAGATACTTACTCATTCAGGAGATGCTATTACCAGTGGTTCTCAACCTGTGGGTCACACCTCCTAACTCTTTCACAGGGATCAAATATCAGATATTTACATTGTGACTCAGCAGCAGCAAAATTACAGTTATGAAGTAGCAATGAAATAATTTTATGGTTAGGGTCACCACAAATGAGGAACTGTATTGAAGGGTCACAGCATTAGGAAGGTTAAGAACCACTGACACACACACACACACACACACACACACACACACACACACACACACCCCTACCTTCTGATCACATAGGATACAATTCTGAGTTTGGCTTCAACTTTATCACTGGGATACTCATTCAATTAGGAGATCTGTCTTTCTTCATCTATATACATTCATGTACACACCCACACACATTACCTATACTCTTTTCTGTAATTAATCTAGGAAATGCAGTCTGAGGTCAAGCCAAACCTGGGCTAGAGTTCATTCATAATTTTGTGACATGGAGGTTCCCTGGAAAATTGTACTGATCTGATCTTGAGGGCAAGAGGAAAAGAAACAGCACTGTACTTCATGAAAGACACATTCCTGTGTCACTGGGTCCTGGGCTTCAGTGTCATTCCTCACCTTGACCCCATTAGCACCTGGTACTTACACCTTCTTCCTTTCTACCACTCCGAGTCTCACAAAAGCTGCTAAGGCATTTTTCTGCAGGTCAGAAGACAGTGCATCAAAACACTGAGAGGCGCCTGCAAAGAGGGGAAGAGGGCAAACGATCATTCCTATTCTTAGCTGAGAAACCACCACCCAGAGATGAGATGTGACTGACCTTGATCTAGAAGCTGACTGGTGAACTTCCTAACTGCAACCAAGTACTGTTTCTCAGTGAAGCAGTCTTCTTCTTCATGTAAGAGGTATTTGGAAACTATCTGATTTCAAGAGGGAGAATGAATGGAACACAGAGAAAGGGGGTAGCCAAATACAAGAGCATGATGGCCAAATTGCCCTCATTAAGAATAACACCTCCACAATCCGCAGAACTTCTAACATAGCTCTTTTGAACTTTCAGCAGCTTTTACAATTAGAAAAGGACAATTTGAAATGACATTTGTCAAGAGTTTAATTTCTCATCTCAGCTGATTGCAAGACAATCACTTCCAGTTTCATATCTTGGGCTGCCTGGGGAGAGGACCTACTCGTCCTTCTGAGTGCACAGAGTGCAGGCCCTCAAGCACTGGCTGATTCCCAGTTTATCAAGTGCCCATCCCATGCTAGACTTTGTGGGAAGTGTGGGACGAGGTCAGCTCTGGGATTAGTCACCATTGTCCACCCATCACAGGTGCTCACAGTCAGTATATAAGCAATGAGTTAAGAGTCACAGATGCCTCTTTTCTGAAATGCCTATATACCCAACCATATGCATTTCAAATTCCCTCCCTCCCTAGAATACTGCCGCAGTGCAGTATCTGAAACCAGTCCTATGCTCTTTCCTGGGTGTCTGTGCAGGATCTTGCTCTTTTTCTTCTGGAAGCAGAGTGAGTGTTCAGTACAATGAAAGGAGAAGGCATTCAAGTCTTGTGCTCACTTAGTGACCACTCTGTATCAACATTAGCCATACAAAGAACACAGGAAGACACAGCATGAATGTAGTTCTGTGTGCAATCATGGGTTCACAGGGGTGCTACCCTCAGAAAATGACAGGCCCAGCCCCTCCTGCTTGTCCCTGAGTAGACATGGAACTTACTTATCTGGGCCCACTATTCAACTGGCACATGCTCACCCCCCACACCAGAAGTAATTTCAGGAATAAAGTCTTACAATACTAATGTAGAGATATTCAGCATTTGCAAACTTCACATACCTGGTATGATTCTACAAAAGGTTTAAAGAGCCCTATGAGAAATTCTAACACAGCATTCCCTTTATTTGTGATGATGATGGCCTTCCCAGTCATCTGTATAGCCTCAGTTTTACACAGCAAGTAACAGCCTTCCTCGAAGTCCTAGAAAGGGAAAGGGGAGGCACATATGTATGTGTACACCAACATCACTAGGCCCACAGCTCCGCAGGACCACCTGACTATGCACTGAAGCTGGGAGCATTTGTTCCCACACTCAAGTGCCAACCCTCAAACATGTAAAAATACAGCATCTGTGAAGCTGTGGCCCGGGAGACAAGACAGACAGAATCTCCCTCTCTCCCTCCCTTTCCCCCTCCCCCCTCTGTCTCTGTCTCTGTCTCTGTCTCTGTCTCTCTCTCTCTCTCTCTCTCTCTCTCACACACACACACACACACACACACACACACACCAGGTGTTCTTCACTTGACACTGAAACACTTCCTTAAATTTAATAGCAAAACCAGAAAACCTGCCAGTCCTCACTTCTCCCAACCCAACTCCCACAGAGCACAGGAAAACCCTCTCCTTAACACACATATAGCACCTTCTGTCTATCTGCCTGCCTCTGCCCATACCAGCAAAGCCACAGACCACACAGCTGTCCCACTGCCAGGCAGGCCCGCCACAGGCCCACTCTCAGAGGAAATGTGCTGTTGTGCTGGAGCATGCCAGGGATCCTCACTTCTGGAACATGCACCGTGGCATGCTTGCTCTGAGCTGTCAGAACTTACCCTGAGTGTGTTTCCTGGAAGGAAGATGAACTCATCTGAAAACACGTTGCGTAGAAAGGAAAAGCAACTGAAGACATCCTCTGGAAAGAACCCATTTCACAACATTAAGACATAGCTTTTGATCTTGTAGTCCTTCAAATGTGTGTGTACGAATGTAACAAGGAAATAATTAAGTCCTTAAAGGAAGCTGAAGTTAACCCAAAGTTTATCTGAAGGACAGACTAGAGTCCAGCAGAGTTTAAAAGGGCTGAATTAAACAAGGCCTCAAATCCCTCAATCTAGAAATGGGCAAGATGCCATCATCCTTAGAAGTTCCTCAGCTGCCTCCTATTCTCCTGTCTACCATTTCTTTACTGTGACTGTGTTTCTGGGTCAACACACACACACACACACACACACACACACACACACACAACCAAGGTGTGCCCCCGAGACAAACTGAAGGATATTCTCTGGGGTGGAACCCCATTATCCTCAGGCAGATCTAGGTAGGCCCAGCCTGCATAACTCATTTCACCTCATTGTGATCTGACACCACTGTGCATTGTACAGTGACAGTGGTGGTGTCCTATCTGCCTCTGCTAGGGCTGTCACAGCAAAAACTGCATCGGACCAGGACCTGGGCAATGGTGTTCCTAATGCGGAGCCTCTCTAGTAATTATAGGACTCTCTGAATCTAACTGCCCTTATTTTTAACAGGCACAGCTAGTGCTAGTTTATTGTGTGTGTATGTCTAAGGATACTGAATGCACCAAACATGCATATGGAAAATCAGAGGGCAACTGTCAGGAGTTGGTTCTTGATTCCCACCTCATTGCAGGCAGAGCCCCTCTTGATTGCTGCTAAGCTGAACATTCAGGTATAACTGGTACACAAGATTAGGGGCAAGTCTCCTGTCTCTGCCTCCTATCTCCCTGTAGGAATGCTGGGATTTCATATATATGCTACCACATATAGCTTTTTACTTGACTTCTAAGAATCTCAACTCACTCCTGTTCTAGAGGATCTGATGCCCTCTTTTGACCTCTGTGGGCACCAAAAACACACAGTGTGGGCATACATGCAGGCAAAATATTCATAAACATGAAATAAATACATTAAAAAAAAAAAAGAATCTCAACTCAGCAATCAAGCTTGCCTAGAATTTTTTTTTTTTTTTGTTTTTTTTGTTTTTTTTTGAGTCAGTGTTTCTCTGTGTAGCTTTAGAGCCTATCTTGGCACTCGCTCTGGAGACCAGGCTGGCCTCGAACTCACAGAGATCCGCCTGCCTCTGCCTCCCGAGTGCTGGGATTAAAGGCGTGCTCCACCAACGCCCAGCTTGTCTAGAAAATATTTACCCACTAAGCCATCTTCCTAGCCCAAATGTAAAGTACAGATTAGGGAGTGTCATTAGTTCTTTCCATTTCTGAAGTTTTATTTTTTCTTAAAGATTTATTTTCATTTTATTTGTATGTATGCATGTGTATATGCCCTGTGTGTGCAGGTAACCATGGCGGGCAGAAGAGGATGGTTGGAGCCCCTGGAGCTACTGTTGTTGGCAGTTGTAAGCTGCCCAACATTGGTGCTGTGAACCTAACTTGGCTCCTCTGTAAGAGCAGACAGTCTTAACCACTGAAGCATCTCTTTTGTTGCTATTGTTTTGAAACTATATTTTGCTACATAGCCCAGGCTGACTCTAAACTGGAAGCTACCCCTGCCTCAATTTCCTGAGTATTTGGGGCTATGCCACATGCTGTTATACTTTCCAACTCTAGACCTACAAATGGGCAGGGCAGCCTCCTTTATCAGAACAGAGGGGGCCACACTTTACAGGGCTTCAACACTACTCCCCTTCTGGGACTAGAGAGCCAGTTTTCTTCGGAAATTCAAGGTCATGCTCCTAAATGTTACCTTTTCTAAGCCCAGGTGTCATGTGCAAGGCTACAGCTACTAAGGAAGGACGGACAAAAATATTGAGCAGCTGGTTCCTGTAGGCTGAGCACATAAGGAGGTTGATGTGTCGGAGCACAATTCCTTTGACCATTTCTGAGCATCCAGATTCCACTTTCAGAACCACCCTGTCATTGACAAGGCTGGCCAGGTTGGAGTGCAGCAAGATGCTGGATTGGACCACTTCCTCAGGAAGCTGGTTATCTACAGAGAGAGCAGCAGAGTGAACTCGGTGAGAAAACAGTCGTTAATTCAACCATGCTTCTCAGAACCTACAGGCTCCAAGGCAGAAGACTTATATGGTCTAATATACCCCTTTCTGTCCCAGAACTGAGAAGCCAGCTTTCTAACATGCCTACACTATCTGAAGGTCACTCAGTGCCAGCTCTTGCCCCACCACTACTTCCTCACCCATGAGCCAACCTGCACTCTGTCCTCGCCTTCTGAAGATCTCCTTTCCATCAAAGCCACAACTCCAAAATCCCTGAATACAAGTTCTTCCCCAAGGACTCTCAGTAACCTATGTTGTGTCCACAGCACTAAGGCTTATTCCACTGACCCTAGCTAGCACTAGCTCACCATCAACCAGTGTCCTACCCTACAGGAACCAAAAGGCCCAGATCAGCTGGTCCACTTCTGTGAACTGGGAGGTGGTTGGCTATAAATCATGGCCTGGTCTTTCAGTAATTATACTCTGTAGTTGTAGTCCCTGTGATTTTCAATTTACACTAAACACTGTCACAGGTTCCCATTCCCAAATTCACAGCATAGTATCCATAACTCCAATGAGGGGTGTGTATTCACATGGTGTGTACACAGAGGTCAGGGGACAACTTTTAGGACATGGTTCCTGTCTTCCAACCTTGTTTTGAAGCAGGATCTCTCTACATTTTAAAAAATATTTTTATTTTAAGTGTATAAGTATTTTGCCTGCATATAAGCATACCACATGGGTGAAGTACCTCAGGAGGCTAGAAGAGAGGGTCTGATCCCTTGCAACTAGAGTTACAGATGGTTGTAAGCTACCATTTGGGTACTAGGAACTGAACCAGATCCTGTGAGAGCAGCAAGTGCTCTTCATCTCGGAGCATCCTTCCAGCCCCAGGTTTCTCTTCTAGTCTCTTACTCTGCACTGTGTACACCAAATTCTCCTAAATGCTGAGCATCCTTCCCTCTGCCTGGCCCATGAGCGATTCTCCTATCTCCTCTTCTTCTCATCTTGACAGTAAGCATGCTGGGATTGCAGATGCATACCACCACGCCCAGTTGTTTACCTGGTTCTGTGAATTGAATCCAAGTTGTGCCATGCTTGTGTGGCACACACCTTTAGTCACTGAACCTCCCTGGCCCTCCAGTGAAGTTTTTACTAAGCTGTTCCTCCTCATCCTCCTCCTCTTCTTCTTTTTCTTCTTCTCCTTTTCTTTTTAGAGACAGGGTCTCTTCATGTAGCACTGGCTATCCTGGAACTTGCAATGTAGACTAGGCAGGCTGGAACTCACAGAGCTCTGCTTGGCTCTGTCTTCTGGAATGCTGGTATTAAAAGGTGTGCACCACTACACCTAGCTTGTTTTTCTTCTTCTTTTTTCTTAAGACAGGGTTTCTCTGTGTAGTCCTGGCTATCTGGAACTCACAGAAATCTGCTTGCCTCTTTCTCCCAAGTTCTGGTGATTAAAGGTGTGCATCACCACTACCCAGCTCTTCTTTATTTTTTTGTAATAAAGACTTGGTCAAATGTACCTGTGGTTGCCCTTGGACTCTTGTTCTCCTGTTTCCATCTCCTGAGTACTGAGATGATGGGCATGCACCACAATGCTTGCTCACTGAACTAGTATCAGAGAGCTGCAGACCAGTAAGCAGCCAGGCTACAAGCACAATGAGATTTAAAGAGGACTGAGGATGCAGCTCAGGGTACAAAGCATACACAGAACCTTATATTCAATTTCCTGTACTGAAAATATCAGAACAAAACAAAACCAGCCCTGGGGCTGGTGAAATGGATGGTTCGGTGTAAAGGCTCTTGCCACACAAGCTCGGTAAACTTGAGCTCAATCCCTGGAACATACATAGAGGTGACAGAAGAGACTGACTCCACAAAGTTGTCCTCTGACCTCAACACCTCCCATCCCCCAACAATAATTTTTTTTTATTTATTTTAAAGATTTTATTTATTTACAACATTCTGCTTCCATATATATCTGCATATCAGAAGAGGGCACCAGATCTCATAATGGATGGTTTTGAGCCACCATGTGGTTGCTGGAAATTGAACTCAGGACCTCTGGAAGAGCAGTCGGTGCTCTTAACCTCTGAGCCATCTCTCCAGCCCCCCTCCCAACAATAATTTTTAAAAGCAACTACAATGTAGCAAACGGTACATTTGCTGGGTATGCCTATAATCCTGACACAGAAGAACTGCTCCAAGTTTGAGATGAGCCTGGGCTATAGTGAGACCCTGCTTTAAAAGAACAAAATTTTGAGTCTCTGAAGATGGCTTAGTCAGTCAAGTAGAACTTGCATTTGATTCCTAGAATCCACATAGAAGTCAGAAGAAGCCAAACACACCTGCAATCCCAGGTATGTTGAGGTTACAAGGGGAGGCAAGGGTAAGAAAATCTTCAGGGCTTGCTGCTTAGCCAGCCTAACCAAATTGGCCAGCTCCACAATCAGTGAAAGACCTTGCCTCAAAAAATGAAGCAAAAGTGGGCCAGGCGTTGGTGGCACATGCCTTTAATCCCAGCACTCGAGAGGCAGAGGC